TGGTTTATAGAGGTCCTTGACAGAATGTACATGTGCAACAGACTCTGCCACTGGTTGATTGTTTCCTAATGTCAGAGAGGGATCCTTGATCTGCCTCTTTACAAAAAAGAATCCAGACAATCTTTATATTCAACCAAAAATTTACATAACTGATTGTTCCAACTAATTATTACTGTATACACTTTTTATATTCTTACTTAACCCTTGGGGATGAAGGCCAACTTGACCCTTAAAGAACCGCAAGAGCCAATTCATAGAGCTGCTTACCCACCGAGCAGCCACTCCCACAAAATAACGCTGTTACTCCATGTGGTGATTGTTGTCTCCAGGAAGTTCCGGTCATGCCTGAGCCTCTACTGCTGTTTGATGGTAGCTAATACATCCCTCAGGTCCCCTCTCTAACTACTTTTCATTATGCTGCTGTGAAAGTACATTTGTAGCCAAGTGCCCAAAATAACTCTGAGCACTGAGGGGGATATTTAATACTACCTGGTCATTTCCCGGTCATGAGCATCTTGGGGATACTGATATTTCAAAATTTCTTTCTTTGCAGTCTTTGGTCTCTGGCCAATAGGAGTCTATAGGCTTGAGGTATATGCCTTGGGGAGAGGATTAAATGAACTCTTTGCCAAATTGGCCCACTGAAAAAATTTTGACCATATTTGGAGATATTTGTCGATCTGTATCACTGTGCCATTGACACCAGGGTTACAAGCACAAAATTTGCTTAAGCGTGAAAAAACCGTACCCATGTGATGTATATTGTTTTGGAACGCGTGAAAAAACCTTACCCATGTGATGTATATTGTTTTGGAATGATATTTATCTGTTGTTTGGTTAGCATTACAATCACGTAGATTTTGAGCTGGTAACCTTTGGTTTAAGATTTTTTACACTTAAGCAAACTTTGTGCTCAAGCAGCTCTATGAAATTGGCCCCAGCTGATCTCTTGCTTCTTCAGCTCTCTACATACTTTTTCCTTGACATTGGCAAGCAGATTAGTTAGTAAGGGTAAAGCTTGTAAGGGAAAAGTTAACTCAATGATCTGACCAGACCCACAGCACCATCTTTTCTAAAAATACATGAGTATGATAGCATCATTTAAAAAATTTATGCATAAGTGATATGATTCTCTGCATGTGTATAAGTTACCATTCCTTTTAATATATGCTGTGATATTGATCAATTTTGGAATTGAAAGATTTGTTTGAGATCAAACCATGTTAAGCTGTTATACTAAATGTGAGCAGCTGCTTTTGAAAAAAATTATTATCAGTTATGTTACTGGCCTTTTGGGTTTTTCCCTGTTGTCATTAAACTTGATTTTAAAATCAATCATGTGCACTATTCACCTTTCTAAGATGACCTTGGATGCTAGGAACAGATTTGGCATTTTTCATCTTTGAGGGAGAGTTGGACCATGTTTCTGTGGCATTTTCTTATCTTTCCTGTAGTCTAAGTCCTCAACTTTCACAGTCTGTAACATGTAACTTGTCAGGAGATGTTTTTTTGTAGCACTGAATTACGAGTCTCAGTAACTGAACTTGAAGCAGTTGTCCCGGCCCAAGTGCACAGACACTGCAGACTTTGAAGAAGTATTCATTGACAAACAGAAGTTAGTCAGGAATACAAACTTCTCCTCATGCAAAAGCTCTCACAGTCAAACAGGAAAAGGTGAGAAAAATCTTCCTGTTTGTTAACAAGTATCTGACAGCAGCAAAATACTTCAAAAAACAAGTACATGTATTTTCTCAACACAAAAACACTTTACAGGCTTAAAGCATCAAAACTGGTCTCATCAGACTGTAGCTCTCTGCTCGCAAAGTTTCAACCCAATTTAACACACTTTAGGGGTTTTTATACTCTACAAATCTACTATATTAACATAATTACTGAATATAAGTCATAAATAAATTGTGCAGCATCACCATCAGTTACATCACCCTGCCTTTAGTTAATGACTAATTCCATTGACCAATCAGCATAAAACCAAATTATGTATTACCTATTACAATATCAAAATCTTGTAAAGGTTCCACCCCGTCATTTCTAAGAAATATTATTCATTTCAAAGAAATATTATTCCATGAAACAAAGACAAGTTGTGGGTGCACTGGCCTCAGCCCCTACTTTCTTTGTAACTAGCCAAGTTTATCAATGGGTAACCTGGCCTTGATGAACATCTGGTGTTTGACTCATTGACCACTACACTTTTCTGGAAACTTAAAGGTGCATCCTATATCCCACCTGTTCACGAAATCTCAACATTGTTACCCTGTCATTGAGGATTTGCAAGCTTTGTCCACACTCGTGGCTCATCAATGCCTACAGCTGTTCCTGTGTCTGTTCATTGTCAATAAAGTCAACTACTGCAAAGAGTAGAGCTACCACATGCTTATGGGAACCATCATGTCTGAGGAAAAGACGAGGAACAAATCCAATACACACTTTGGATATAATTATTATGATATGGACATGTATGAACATAAGACACTGCAAAAAATAGTGATTTTTCAGTCTGCTGTAATAGTGTACAGGATTAAATTTAGAGTTAATTTTAACCACTACCTGCCGGGTGGATTTCTCTTGAGCGTGATGTGATGGCGGGACCTTTTCAAGATTTTCCGTGTTCAATATTCTTCAAAAATTCATGTGTTCATTTCCTGGACGTTTACACCCGCACGAACGACTCTCTGGTGGCTACTCTTGTCTGTCAGGCAACCTTCAATGACACCCAAGTATTCAGCCGAGGCCTGCAGCCCTGTAAAAGAGAGCCCGGAATTGTGGGGTGTTGCGTAATTTCCTTTGTGCCAGTGAATGCCAGTAGTGTCCTTTCATATGCAGCTGGATTAGTGAGCAGCAGTGCTGTGTCACTCATCAATAGTGCCCTGTAGCACTTTTGTCTGCAGTGCTAATCCGCGGGCGCGCTGTGCCCAAAACAGTGGTATACTGTTTCAAAACAGTGCCGGATTACCTTCGAAAAGTGGAAGGCGAAAAATGATGGCAATTCCCAGCAGCAGGTCCTTTGTTCCGAGTACAGTCTTTTGTTACACAGACCAGCTCTTTTGTCCAAAACTGGGCACCCCGACTCTGCATATAAACACACGGTGTCCGAAACTGGGCTCCCCGGCAGAAGTGGCTACCCCAGGGGATCAGTCTTTCCATGTTTACCCGAAGAAGTCTGGAGCGTTTATTGGAGAGGAATACAGTCAAGTGGACATTTTCCTCCCTGGGCATTTTAATCTGTTTGTAAATTCATTGCTAAAGCAACATAATAGGCCTACTCACCAGTCCCATTTAGCTCCCACAGGTTATTTTGAGTGTCAAAATGATACATGTACTTGTATGTAATCAGCTAGTCAGATTGACTGGGACCGCACATTAAATATATATGTCAAGATGAAGATATTTCATTTTGATCATTGCGTTTTTATCTTGAGAATTAAGTTCACAATAAGCAATATGCTTAGCACTTTTTATAGGCCTAGTCCGAGCTTAGGCTAAGCCTACCTGAAATGACATTCTCCGCATTACTGTCCTTAAACATCAAATACCCATCATCATCTCTGCACTGCAATAGCTGCTGTGGTATCCAGGCACAATCTTTGATGAGATAGGCAAAAAGGTCTCCCATAGACACTGATACCATCTTTCTCAAATCTGTGCCCCACAAGACATCATGACCATTGAGATCCAGTGCCATCCTGTTGCTCATCACAGCTCTTCTCTGTTTTTTTCAAGGACTCTTCTTGATCATGACATCCTACAATCTTGTCTCCGTAATGCTTTTCTGCCAAGTCAACAAGATCCTTTCTCTTCTTTCCATGGAATTCCTTGTTCTTAAAAAAATCCTCGAGCTGTCGCTTTACAGGCACATGTACTGTGGAAAGTCGGCCATGTTTATACTTTTGTCGACTGTGAATTTGATAAATGAATTATTTGTGGCAACTTTTTGGGGGCGCTGTGCATGTGTATTTGGCATTGCCCGCACTGATGCCTGGGGTATGAGCACACATTGTATCCTACTGCACTGTTTTCTAGAGGTACCGGTAGGTCTAGGTTTTCACTTCATTGGAAATACAGGGCGATTTGCAGACAGTAGAGCTACATGTAGCTGTAGCACCAGAAGCCTGTGCCAAAATCTTCCAAAATATCCCAAACTTGTGATTATTTGGATGGTATCAATAGTGGTTGGACAATGGACATGTTTGACCGTTTCTTATATACTTATCAGCAAATATGTGTGAAAGTAGTAACGGCGACTGATCTTTGAATTCTTGGGACATTCTAATGGAAGTAGTAGGAGGCAGCTAAAACTTGAAAATAAAATGGGAGGGAATGACCATCAATTTTGTCTAACATTGCAGCAGCCACTAATGATCCTTGAATTTGAAACTGAGTGGAAATGCACAGGTTTGTACATTCCTGTATGACTGACAGGTACAGGTTGTTAGTGCCACAAATTCCTTTTCCTTTTTTAAAGTGATGTGACTTTGATTTTCAGTTAATTTCCTTGAACGACCCAACCATTATTTAAAAAAACGTCAATTTATAAATATTGCAAATTTTGAATAGCCCCTTATAGGATTTGTGTCATGTAGAAACAAGCAAATGAAAACACTGTTTTACACATTTGTGTGTAAGAAATGGATGAGATAGACTTTGAATTCCCTCTTAAGGACAATTTATGCTTGGCGTGAAGCAAACATGGACACTGAGGCATGAGATCAAACATTTGTTCCGGGAATTCGGGAAAATGAAACACAATTCCACCCAAGCAAATGTTTGATGATATCAATTTGCTTTCCATTCGTGTTTGCCTGAAGTATGAACTGGCCTTTGAATGTTACAAAAGAACACAGACATGACTGTACTACCAATTAGTATGAAATCAAGTGTTACACAGTTATGTATGTATGATTTAAATATCCTACACGAACATTACTTGTTTGATAGCTGTGTATATGTACCTCTAATGTGACTTATTGCTTATTCAACAGCATAGCAATTCATCTGGCTCGGAGACGCAGGTATGTTTTAAATGAGTTTTATCGAAAATGAGTTTGTGTTATTTCACTGTATATCATCATCGTTTTGACAAAGAGCCACATGTGTCAAAATGGCATTTTTGTTTGATTTCAATTTTTTCACTTTGTTTTAAAACATCATAATTTATCTTTTTGACATGCTTTCTCCAGCATAATATCATTAACGTCAACATTATGTTAATGGTGTCCACTGCGTTCAACCTACCCAAATAGTCAAAAAAATATGCAAATTTTCCACGTGCCTACTTTATTCACTGAAAAGCCTTGATCATCCATGATACACCCTGGCCTCCCACAATGCATTGCAGTCATGCCCCATGCATGTCTTTTTCTCAGCGCCTCAATGTAATGGACTTTTTTTAGGTATTTTTAATTTTCTAAATTCCTTGTTCGGAATAAAATTTTCTTGATTTTTTCCTCTTTGTTTGTTAGAGTGTGATTTTTGTATACTTTTGAGTGTTCTTTTCTTTCGTCAGTTTCTTCAGTCTATAAATATTTGGTGTAGGTACTACAAAGGTTGTCCAGCCACACTTGTGACTACCTTACCACATAACAAACAGGCTTAGTTGGCTGAACAGGGGCATCTGCTAAGATCTGGCTAGGACCCATCTTGTTCAGCCCTACACGGAGCTGACGGGGTGTTGGACAATTGCATAAGACCTCTTGACAAGGGGCACCTGCTAGGATCTGGCGAGGACCCCCGTCTTCCCAGTCTATCACTGGTCTACTGAGCTTGCTGGGATTCCCGAGAGCGTGCATCTCCTGATGTTTCCCATACTTGTCCCGCCATCAGTCAAAGTATGCCAGTGGCCGAGAAGAACCCACTCACTTAGCCAAGGGGTAAGTTGCTGCGTCAGAGAGGCTTCTGGCCACTGAAGTTTTCCCTTAGTGGAAACTATTAACCCTGCTCCCGTCAGTTATTACTATGATGGGTTCTCTTCTTCTATGGGTGACCTATCTCTTGCCCTTCCTGAAGATTTAGTTTGACTCCCGTTTGCCCTAGCGTCATCTTGGGTGTTACCACCCTGTCATGTAAATGGTAATGGATATTCTTCGTTGAGTAGAATATACCATTGTCTGGCATGCGCTCCCCCATAGACCCGCATCATGCTTCCTCTTCCCTGGAGAAAACTTCGTTTTCCTGTCTGCTCCCGAAGTACCTGACGTAGCCGAAGACAAAATCACTGCTGACTCAGGAGACCTGCCTTCCAGATTGATCTTCCGAGACAAGGATAAGGACTTTGTGGAATCTTTGCTTAGGGCAAGGAGTATTTTTCCCTTTCCTACATGAGCGTGTGGGAGGAACGGGCCCAGTGTCTAAATTCCCACTGTACTGAATGGGGCCCGTGCAAATGCAGGATCATGCTCGAAATTGCATAACAATAGCTCAAAGAAACAGTCACGCTTGATGCCCTCTGGACGTCAATATAATAGATCTGTTTGGCAATGACGATGGAGAACGGAAACCTCACATTGAATATCCTATTAAAGAAATGCTGGCCCAAGGTTGTCTTGGAAAATATACGATATCTGACTTTATTGTCCTTTCTCTCTTGCAGATGGTGTGTGTATGTAGTTGGAAGATTAGTTGAAATTTTTACCTTGTTAATGATTAACAAATTGAGAAGTCTCGGAAAGTAGAGTTACATGTGCATTTATAAGAAAATCTTGTTCTGGAAATAACCTTTTTGGGGTACCACCAAAGAATGATGAAATTTTTCAGTTTTGGCTCGAGTCTCTGACTCAGACTTGAGGTGCTATTATTTGTTTTTTCCATTTGTACTTGAGACTTGACTTGGAAAATATAACTTCAAACTTGAAGGAACATGATTTTCAACTTGCCATGACTTGATTAAATTTGACATTGTGATGACTGAAATGCACCCATGCTCCACTTATCCTTGGCTTGCCGCTGCTACCCTGTGAATGTACAGCTGGAGCATATTTGCATGAGAAGTCTTAACAGTGTCATTTATGTCAATCTGATAATCCGAGTTGCCTTGTTTTGCTACCACAGGGAATGGTCCCTTCCACTGTAGAAGGAGCTTGTCATCAGTTGGAAGTAATAATAAACTGGACAGCAAAAGAAACTTGCCACTTCTGTCAAAGGCCACACATAAAAATTCACTCCATAGAAATAAACAATTTTTGTACACAGGTATGTTTCAATACCCCTTACTAATCACATGCCCCAAAGCAAGTGATTATCTTTATATCAAAGAAGAAATTGACATGCACAGCAACTTGGTTACTGAATCAAAAGTCACAGAATGTAACAGAATGAGCCTTAAGTTTTACGCAGAAATCAGTGTCACAGGATGAAATAAAGAAGTCACAATCATTACTTTTCAATAATGTGTATGCATAGTTAGTAAGGATGGCATCCCTATACAGAAACCATTCATGCAGGCTTCAACCTTGAGCTTAAGAGGGTCAAGGCCACTTGGCCTTGAATGCTTCCAAAAACCAAAGGGCACCAAGGCCAACTGAAAGGGCACCAAGGCCACTTTAACATTTTTACTTATCATGCTTGTTGGTGACTTTGACAGATTTTCCTTCAATTTCAACATGGTGTTAAACTTTCAACTTGCAATTTTCATTGTTTCTGTTCACATGCTGAGCAGTCTGCTTGAATTGTAGAAATAAAAATAAATATTTTTATACTAACTTTTAACTTACCATTTTGTGTTGTGTCTTATTACTTTTGATGATGCCATGATGCCATAAAAGCAACACTGTTATTCGAAGATCAATGTAATTACAAACAATGCAATTCAAGCAAGTCGGTCACTGGGTCACAAACAATTATCCTATAGAAGCCCACTGTCATGCCTAGCGCCCGCGTGAATACAAGTAAAATAGCGAGGGAAAAAATAGACTGGGTCGTACTCCCGCCTGCAACCCCAAAATAATAGCGACTCTGTCTAAATATGTACAATGTACAGAATCCAATCGGTGCAGAATGTGTAATTCCGTGCTGCGACTTGTAACTAGTCTATTATATAGTCTATAAAAGTAGTCTGTAAAAGTAGTCTTGTGCCACGTTTTTAGGGTCACAAAGCTCAACTACATTGATATGGTTGCCATACCATGTTGTCTACAGGGCGATGAAAACCAGTCCGTGAAAAAAATGGTGCTTGGTGCGGCTGGTCAGCCGTTGACAGAAATGCTAGCGCTAAATGGTAACCTGAAAGTTGAATACAACTTTAAATACACAAAGGCCTACTGATCATTGAAGAGGGGCACGTTGGCCAAGTGGCCGAAAGGTACACGCTATTTTTAAACGGCATCACGGCAATTCACTGGGGCATCGCGGCATCAGCCACTGGTGGCTGCTGTAAAGATTGAAGCCTGCTCATGCACATCATTTTTACAAAACAGGTGTTCCCTTTGTCATTGGTTATTTAAAATGTTGTCCATTCATGGGTCATGGTGGAGAGTGCTTTTGTGTGTGACTTTTGATTCAGTAACCAAGTTGCTGTGCATGCCAATTTCTTTGTTATAAAGATAATCACTTACTTTTGGGCCCGTGATTAGTAAGGGGTATTGCAGCATACATGTTCCTGTGTACAAAAATTGTTTATTTCTATGGAGTGAATTTTTATGTGTGGCCTTTGACAGAAGTGGCAATTTTTTTGGCTGTCCAGTGTAGAACTTATCTCCTACCTTGAATTGCCTTTGTTGAGCCCCGTTGTTGCTGTGTTGTGTCAACTCACAGAATTGTTTAGGATTTGTAGTGCCAAATTCTTTCCTCAGCTGGTTCTTCAAACCGATGACATCCTAGTCTCGCAAGATTGTCATTAATCCCTGCGCAGAATGGGAGGAACACGCCTGAGCGGGTTGGAACAGGGAAAATACTTTTGATCTTTGCCCTTACAAGACTCAACAGAGCTTTGGGCTACAGTGTCCTGCCTTTCTGAGCCTTCTGTCAGAGTATGTGACCTGTACATGTGAGGAGAATTCGCCTGTAACATTAGACCTATATGTAGCTGCCTTAGCCCTCCACGGCCTTGATGAAGGGCTTAACTGTGTATCTGAACAATTTGCTCAAATCTCCTGTGTCACAACTTCTACCCAGAGATCTAATGCCCTAGATGCTATGCACATTCCCTACAAGGGTGTGAAGGATCACCTCCAGGAGCTTCCGCTGTACAGAGAAGATCTCTTTGACTGCAAGCTTCTTGACATGCTGGAGGCTGAAATTAAATGCATTGACACTATCAACAAAATATTGTTCTGTAAAACGGCTACACAGCAACCTCAGCTCCCCAAAATCAGCCAGCTCAAACCCTCATCAAATTTATCCTATTTGTCACTCCTTTTGCCCCCTTTGCAGTGGTACATCTCAACCTGCACCACTCCCAGACCGAGCCAAGCCCACCAGGGATGGGGGTATTCATCAGGCGCCCCTTGTTCATTCAGGAGATGTCGCAATGACCACATGGCTTCACCACCTACAACCACCGATCCCAAACCTGTTGGCGGCCACCTACAACAGTTTGCAGGGATCTGGTGGGAGATCACCTGGCACAAATCGAACTCACGACTCTCACGGATACCCCCTCGACTTCACAAGCACCCCACTGCCTGAGGTGATTCTGCGGCTGACTCCAGTCCCATGCAACAAAGACCAATGCTTGGCACTATAGTCTGAGATAAATATGTCATCTTTCAAGTTTAACCCATCCAAGTGAAGGACAGTTTGGTCTGTCAACTTCGCCTAGAGTTTTCACCTAGGTTGCGAAGACCATTGTCGCCCATCTACATGTATGATGGCTGGATATCATGATCTTTAAGGACCTTATTTACAGACTGATCATCAGCCAGATCCATGACGAGGCTGTAGCATCAACCTGCCTTACCTACGACCTCACCACCTGACTTGGATCTTATCAACCAAGACAGCGCCAAAGCTAGTCCCATTCCAACTCCAAACTTACCTTTGGGTGATACTTGACCTCTGCAATGGTATTATAACCCCG